TAAGTATGGAGACTTCAAGTAAACCTACAAAAAGAATTTGAGTAATCTTCTTTTGGTACCCACACTTTCTTGGGTCCATGGGAGTTAGGAAGCACCATATATGTCCCTTTAATAACCCAAATTTCTTTTATCATACATGGCCTAATAGGATAATGATTGATCTTATGTCCTAGCTTTTTATAATAATTGCATTTTAGACTTGAAGAGGAAATTTTAACAAAATAATTGTTCAAAGATTTTCTCTTTTTCAATAAACAAGAATCTTTGTTGTGAGGATCATATCCAAGCCCATCTTTTGCATAAGCATTTCTTTACTTTCCAAGAATGAGGCCTAAGTTTTCTCTACCTTTTGTGAATTTGGCTAAGGTTTCAATTTGATCCTCAATAATGACTTTTAATGATTCATTTTCAGAAATTAACTCAATTGAGGCTGCTTCTTTTGCTAATTCTTTTTCCTTTTTCAAATTTTCATTTTCAAGTTGAGATTTTTCAAGGTTTTGAGAGATGATAAGCTTTTCTCTTCTAAGGCTAGTACACTTTTGAACCATGTTGCCTAATTCATCATGTAATTCTTTAAAAGCATCTAACAAATAGTTATGTGCATCAACCAATTCATTATAAGAAGTTTCTAAATCAAATGAGTCATGATTAGAATTTACCTCATCTTCATCGGCCATGAGACAGAGATTGACCAATTCATTGAGATCATCATCACTTCCGGATCCATTTGAATCATCATCCTCCCATGTAGCTCGCATGGCTTTGTCTTTCTTTTTCCTTTCCTTTTCATTTTTGTAGGCATAGCAATCGGATTTGAAATGCCCCGGTTTTCTACAATGAAAACATGTAGGTGTTTCTCTTTTTCCTTGCTTACTTGATAAACCATTTCTTTTGAAGTTGTTACTCTTTTGGTACTTCTTCATTTGAAGAACTCTTCTCACGGTCTTGGTAATGAGAGCAATTTCTTCTTCTTCTTAAGCTTTATCAATTGTGACTTCTTTGGTAGAAGCTTGAAGAGCTATATCTTTCTTTTGAGCTTCTTTGTCTTCATCTCAATCATTCATCTCTAGCTCATAGGCCATTAAGGAACCAATGAGTTCATCTATGGGAAGTGTATTGAGATCTTTGGCCTCTTGGATGGCGGTCTTCTTGGCTTCCCAATTTTTTGGTAAAGACCTAAGAATTTTTCTCACATTGTCAGACGATGTATATGATCTTCCAAGAGCCTTCAAAGGATTCACAATGTTAGTAAAACGAGAGTACATTTCACTAATGGTTTCTTTGTTGTTCATGGTGAAAAGTTCATATTTATGGACAAGCATATTCATTTTAGATTCCTTAACATGACTGGTACGTACATAGGTAACTTCAAGTTTATCCCAAATTTCTTTGGCCATTTCACAATCAGAAATTCTATTGAATTCATTTTTGCTTAAGGCACAATAAAGATTAGTAATAGCCTTGACATTACATTGTACAAGCCTACGGTCATTGAGGGTCCATTCAATATCAGGTGTTGGAACATTTTCATTATTTACTATTTTGGTTGGAACATGGTCCCCTTGTTCTGTGGCTTTCCAAACATCTATATCAATGCCTCTTAGGAATGCTCTCATTTTGATTTTCCAATAGTTATAGTCACTTCCATCAAACCAAGGGGGTCTATTCTTAGAATGACCTTCTTGATGAAAATTTGTATTGGCCATGATCGTTCTCTAAGATGATTAATCTTTTTCTAGAGATTAGGCTCTGATACCAATTGTTAGTCACTAATTGACTTTAGAGGGGGGGTGAATAGAGTTAAGGGCTAATTTTTGCAATTTAAAATTGTTAAATCTAATAAACTGTTAAGCACAAATCAATTGAAATATTCAAACAGTATATTGCATAAGTAAGAGAGATAGAGATAAGAGATTGGAAACAGTGACCCGGCAATTTAGCAAGGTTCGGAAACTCCTACTCCTTGGCTCAAGGTCCTCCCTTGAGACTTCCCAAATTCACTAAAGCTTCTCCTTAATGGTGGAGAGCAAACCTTCAATTTAAAGCAAGACTTGCTTCTCTTCCTTGCTAGGAGAACACCCTTCTCCTAGACTTCGTTTTGGGTCACACCAACCCTTACAAGATCGTAGCAAAGTTTGTAATTTGAAATACAAGATTGAACCTCTCTCTCAATATAGATGTATAAGTGTAAGCTCACAACTAGAATAGATAAGAATATTAATGAAGCTCAAGATCTAGAATGAGAGAATGCAGTACACAATGAAAGCTCAGAGAAGGAATTTATATGTACTGAATGCTCTTGAATGCTCTGCTTAAAATATTCTTTCAAGTGGTGTATATTTCTTTTTAGACAAAACCTCTGTGTAAATATTTATTCACACCTCCATATAGCTGTTAGAAGTAGTTGGAAGAATTAAATGCAGAAAAATTGCCGTTGTAGTTCAAAACCCTTAATGGAGCCGGCTCCTTACAAGAAGTGGAGGCGGCTCAATTTCAAATGGAGGCGGCTCAAAAAAAAGATTGAGCAGGCTCATTTTCTAAAATGGAGGCGGCTCAAAAAAAAGATTGAGCAGGCTCATTTCTGAAAGATTGTTCTACGAGCCAAGAAATACTACGAGAGTGAAAGGAGCAAGGTCATTTTTTTTGAGTGGAGGCGGCTCCAAAAATGTGCATGACTAAAAATAAATTTAATTAAGACCTATGCACTTCCTATTATATGTAGCTTGCATATATAAGGTTTATGAGAAAATTTTAGGCAGTTTAAAACTGAATTTAGAATGAGTATGCATGATCCTAAAATTGAGCTTCAAAATATATTCAAGTAAACTTTGACATTAAATCTTAAGCTCTCACCACCCTATCTACCCTTTTCTTCATTCTTTGACCATGATTGTTCAGGCTTGATAAAGACTTGCTTTGTTTCTTTGAAATGCTTTGTGTGATATTTGAAGTCCGAGTTTTTCTTTGATTTCTTGCACTTTAAGGCTTCCTTGAATCCATTGCTTAAATGTTTGGAATGCTTGGAATGGATCTTCTAGCTCATCATTGAGGATTGAATGTTGATCAACTATATATCACTCAATGAAAACATTAGTACATAAACATCATTAATGGTTTGTAATCATCAAAACATAAGATTGACCTTTAGATAAAATCCTTAGGCCAACAGGGCACTCATCAATTTGCCCTCTTTTTTGAGCTGAAAAGAGCGAGAGCTGTGAGATTCTAGAGAGAAGTTGGAGAAAAAACTGAGGGAGAGCCGGAGAGGAAAGAGAAGGCCAGGCGACCGCCGACGCCGACCACTGAAGCTATTCAGTCTACGTAGAGATCTCGAATGATCGAGGCTGCCGAAGGCCCGAAGCTCAACTCAAGGTCTCACCTATCTGGCCATCTTTTGCCCTCTTTATATATATATTGTAAATTTTGGTGCTCATGTTCTTGATTTGTTCATTTCGGTAAATTTAGTTTCTCTCTTTTCTTTGATAGACTATGCTGCATAGTGCATCTACTTGATTACATTGAAAATTAATCTTAGATTTTGTTACTTAGACCTTTAGGAGTTTAGCATAATAAAAAAATTTTGAAGAATATCTTCATATAAGATAATATAAGAATCATCTTATTATAATAATAATTATTATTATTATTTTTCTGCCATTAAAGGCTTAAAGCAGATTAGTAGGGGAAACGATGGTCCACATGGACAAATGTTCATTTCAGTAAAAATTTGGTCTCTCTCTTTTCTTTGATTGACTATGCTGCAAGCCTGCATCTACTTGATTACATTGAAAATTAATCTTATATTTTGTTACTTTGACCTTTAGGAGTTTAGCATAATATAAAATAAAATAAAATAATTTGAAGAATAAAAATATAAGAATCATCTTATTATCATATTATTTTTACTCAATTATGCTTATTAGGAATTTAGGATCGATGGTTTAAATTACAATGTAAAATCCTAGGTATTAAAAATTTATATTTGAATTACCCTTTTTAGGCACTTTTGACTTAAAATATTATTATTATATTAGTAAAACCGTTAATTCTCCAACCCCCCTTATACTGAATCCTGGCTCCGCCCTGCTACCACATTTCAATATCAACTTTCAACTTCAACATTGTACATCATCATCATTATTATTGCAGTTTTCCAAATATAATAGTATGCTTGATTTGAAGAAATAATTCACATAGAAGCACACCATCTCATGCTTAACGTTTTTCATATAATGCATTTTAAACTCTAGCATGCAAGTCCATTCACAAAAAGTAACACATAGTCAACTTGATTATGTCCAGCAAACCATGATGTATGAGTACCCACAATAATATTTAAGGAATTTACAATCTCAGTTTCAAGATTTAAGTTTCAGCACTGTTTTCAACACAATTCGATATAACTCACCAAAAGTAAAGATTGTGAGGTTTAGGACAATCCTACCTCAAAGGAAGCTCGAAACCATGCTAAAACAATCCAAAGCCACACAAAGGAAGAATCAAAATCACTAACTATGATAGAGAAGATGAAGCATCCCTTTTTGCAACAAAACAAAACCCTTTCCTTTAAATCAATACCTGCAACTTTGTGCTAAATATGTGGACTCAACACTTGCATCAATGGATCGGAAAGCTCTCCTTCACCAGACAAACTAATTTCCTTCACATGGCAACCTCAATTCTCAACTACAATGGCCTTAAAATGGGATATAAAGAAAATGACCATAGAGAGGAAAAGATGGCACGAAGTTACTGCAGAGAGTCTCTACACAAAAATTCCTTCAGTGTGTGTTACAAACAAACATGCCACATACACACCCAAGGTGAATACACATAGGCATATAGGTGTCAAGCCCACACAGTGGTCAAAAGTAAGACCTCCCAAATGACTAAAAAGCCCTCTTACCATTACCAAATACTAATTATACCATTTGCATAATAAAAGTACTCCTCGTGAAATGAATAAACAACATACCATATCAATAACCAAAATGGAGAAAATGATACTAGTCTCAACAAGAAAGTAAACAATGCACAAAATATGGAAATGTCCGAAAAAATCGGAAAACAAGAAACATCACAAAATTAATCCATATTTTTAATCACATCCTCAATCAGACGTCCAAGAAAAATGTAGGATGACCCACCCTCCGTCACGGCTTCTCTGCTCTTTTCTTTCATTTCATTCGCCTTCTTTCTAATTTCCCCGTCATCCATCATAACTTTTCTTATCCCCGTCTCTATCTCCTCTGCCGTTAAGGGCACTTGATTGAATTCTCTTCTGGGATCTTTCCTATAGTCCATCTTGATCTCCACTGCTATCCCCAACTCTCTCACATTTGCAAAAGCATTCATTTGCTGCTCTGCGTACAAAGGCCATGCTGCCATGGGCACTCCACACCACACACTCTCCAGCGTGGAATTCCACCCGCAGTGTGACACAAACCCACCCACTGCCGGGTGTGACAACACTGCCACTTGTGGCGCCCAACCAATCACTTTTCCCATCCCTGACATCCGTTCCAAGAATCCCTCCGGCAGGACTTCCCGTGGATTCTCGTATTCTTTTGGAAGCTCTACCTTTCCCTTTGGTGGAGGCTGACGTAGGGACCACAAAAAACGGTAGCCACTGCGCTCCAGTGCATCCGCAATCTCTTTCACCTGTTCCTTACCGAAGCTTCCCATGCTCCCGAAGCACAAGAACACCACCGACGACAGTGGCTGATCGTCGAGCCAGCTCAATATAGCGTCGGATTGGTGGCCCCCCTCACCACTCTTGAGGTTGAGTACAGGTCCCACCGGGTAGACTGGCGGGGTCTTACCGTCAGATAGGGACTTCACTGCATGCGATTCTAGCTCAGTGAACGTATTGACCATGATGCCTTTAGTCCGTCTGAACCTTCGGGCATGTGCTAGGAACATGCTGCACTCATCTTGGTTGTCCAGCACCAGAGATGGCAAGACCTTAGACGGAACAGAATTGGCAAAACTTGGAACTGACAACTCAGTATCCGAGTCCTTGAACTGAGTAATGTCTTTGCTTTGGTCATCTTGGATTGACTGGAGATGAAACATGAGGCCAAGAAAACCAGCACTAGACGTGAAGTAGACGTAGGATGGGACCCCCAATTCGTCGGCCACATCGATCATCTCGCTGCAGAACATGTCAACAACAAACGCAGCAAGCCCATTCTTGGTTTGGATTCCGACCGCAACATCTCTCACTCGAGTCTTGTTGTTTTCTATAAGGGTGGCAATAAAGTCACCGGGCTTGTGTTCTGAACTTGATTCTTTTTGAGGAAGTTGAATGAAACGTACGCGTGAGGTTGCGTCTTCAGACATTGACTGGGTATGAATAGTACTGGTCTTGGTGTCAAATATTGGCGCCTTCATTATGATCACCGTAATGAAGAGCCGTTCGTCGCGGCAAATGAGGAGGTTGGCCATCTCCACTGCCGATGCCAGGTGACCGACTCCCGGGGATGGGATGAACACCAGCTCTGCTTTCTTCATTTTTACTACTACTGCTGCTACTCAATCAATTCTGATAAGGATGAGAAGACGTTGAACTTTGGATTCTATGTACACTATATGTTATGATTGATGGTTGATGTATGCTTTCTAGTAATTGTTTATATATAGACAACGAACCATTGAATGTGTATGCAGGTGATGTAATGGTTTTTTTTCTTTTTTCTTTTTTGGTTAAGAAGTGATGTAATGGCTTTGCTGGCGCGGAGAAACAGACGAATCTTCTCAAGTTTCTACTAGGACCACTTAAATATATATTGTGTATATCTCATTATGGAGTATTATATTGAACGTAAAGTAATATAATCCGATCCAGTCCTCACCTACAAAACCATTGAAAAAGGCACTATGATAATCAACAGTGACGAAATTGTATAATAACACGACAAGTTTTACAATCAGAGCACTTTTGACTTTACTGGCCTGATTTATATATTATGAATTTTACTTGAAAAACCTAAAAATATAGTGTGATGCTTAATTACTTGAAAATCCAAAATGGTATAAAGGTTTGTGAGTATGTTTTAAATTTTATTTATCTCTTTTGAGGTTTTAGTTTATATAATAGATTTTTCTTGATGGTTAGCTACTTGACAAAGACAAACATAATATTTAAAAAATTAATAGAAGATTAATTTTGTATTTTTAATATCTGAAATGATAGTAAATATTTCATGAACAAAACGATAAAATAACATACTAACATTATCAAGTTAGACGATGATTACTAACAAGAGGGATGTAAGTAAAATTATGAAATGTAAAAGATTTAGCAAAATATTAACCAATCTTAAGAAAGGTTACTGAAAATTTACACAATAAAATACTGCAAAATATAATAATAGAGGGAAGGAGGGGAAGAGAAAGCTTAATAGAAATATATACATATATAGGACCAATTATTTCCATTAAGGTCAATATATATATATATATATATATATATATATATATATATTGACCTTAATGGAAATAATTGGTCCTCCCTCCAATGTCTGTCAAATCTTTGTCTTCAGAACATTTGAGAAATGAATGAATTTTGAATGTCTGACCTGGTGACCTTTTAGTATAAAAAATTGGGTTAGCTAGCAATTAGCATATGTGCACACATAAAAATGCACATGACAGACTCTTGAAGGAATGGTGTTAATTTTATGGTAACAATCGAATTAGCATTTTTCTTGTTTGGACCTACCAGTAAGCGAGATGCTAATTGTCCTCCTTAGTTTGGCCCACCCCCAAGTCTTTGAAGAAAATATATACAAATAATACAATAACACTATTTCACCAAACAAAATCTACTCATACAAGAAGAGTTTTATGAAAAGGACATATATTCTTGTTAGAAAAATGATTCAAAAAATTTATTTACTATGCATTAAAAATTTATATTTATTACACATCGATTTTGTCTCTTAAGCCTGTTTAAATATAATAATGGGTGGATCTATTAATGCATTTATATTTGTAACATTCAAAAGCCATTAAAGGTTTCAAGCCATGAGCATCCTATAAATAGACCAGGTTTAGACATTTTGAAATATCCCCAATCAGTCTTCTCTCTATGATCACTCTCTCATCTTTCTTTCTTCAAACATATTTCAAGTGAATTTTTTCAACTTCATACTGTCCATAATTCCAACAACCTTCTGGACATGATTTTTAGTGTTCTGAAATTATATTTCCATATATTTTTGGGCTTCATTGAAACGAGTTCAAGTCTTCAATCTGAGTGCACATTTTGAAGACTGTCGTTGTATCCTGGAGGGTGACTGCTTGAGTACCATTTGCACCAAAGGACGTGTGCCATAAGCCACGTACTCTTAGTAGGGGCGAGTTCACTTTTAAGGATAGTGAGTTAAGCCTCATGCCTCGGCTGATAACTTTACTTTTTCTTCCTTACTTTATTTTAGTTTTTGCATTATTTTTCCTTTTGTACAAAACATTATTGATTTAATTAGTTGAGCACATCTTTTTTCCTACAAACTTAAAAGTGAACTTGTGCTTGATTAATTAAAATGGGGAAAAATCCTGTTCCTGATATGTCTAAGGTTCAGCCTTTTGACGGAACGCATTACAAAAGATGGTCTGAAAAAATACTATTTTTCTTACAACAAATTGAGGTTGCATATGTTTTGTTTAATGAAAGCGCTCCTGATAATGAGCTTGAACCTGCAAGAACTACTTCAATAAGAATTTTTGAAAAGGATTACACTTCTTGTCGAGGGTATATTTTGCATCACCTTTCAGATCAATTATTCGACATCTATTGCAAGTACAAAACTGCAAGAGAGATTAGGGAAGCCCTCAAAAACATATACTCCACCAATGAGGTCGGAATACGAAGATATGCGGGAAGCAAATTTCTTCATTTCAACATGGTGGCCGGATAACCTCTCTATTATAAAGCAAGTCCATTAATTTCAAACTATAGTTCCAGAAGCAGAGGCTGAAGGATTTGTCATCAATGAAGCCATACAAGTCGATGCACTCATCGACAAGCTAACACCCTCTTGGAAGGACTACAAGACTTATCTTAGACATAAAAAGAGGACATACACTATGGAAGAGTTGATTTTCCACATTCAAATTGAAGAAACAAGTCGTTTGGGAGAACAACCTATTCCAGCCAAAGTGTCCTCTGTCAAGGCTAATTTAGTTGTTCAAAGGCCTTCAACAAGCAAGTTATCATATGGCAAAGGGGATCACAAAAACAAAGACAAAAAGAGTCAATTTTTCAAGAAGAATGATAAAGTACAAAAGAAAACCGATGGGCCTTACTACGTTTGTGGTAAGCCAGGTCATAGAGCTCATGAATGTTGGCAACGAAAGGGACAAGAAGCTCAACATACCAAGCCACAAGCGAACTTAGCAGATAATGAAACACGAGAAATTATAGCAGCTGTTGTTACTGAAGTTAACATGATAGGCAACGTGATTGAATAGATAGTGGACACAGGGGCCACTAGACACATCTATAGTCATCACAACTTATTCTCTACCTATGAGAAGGTAGAAGGAGAGTTTGTCTACACGGGAGATCGATTCTCGAGCTGCAAAAGTTTGTGGAGTAGGTAAGATAATGCTGAGGCTAACATTTGGGAAAGCTTTATCTCTCAACTCAGTCCTACATGTTCCCAAGATACGAAACAATTTGATCTCTGGCTCACTTCTCAACAAGGCTGGACTCAAGTTAGTCTTTGACTCTGACAAGTTAATCTTGACACGAAATGGTGACTTTGTTGGTAAGGAATTTTGTAGTGGAAGTCTTTTAGTACTCAGCATTCAATCGATGAATAAACCGGGTAACTCTTTTATTTATATTGCTGAGTCATTAGATTTATGGCATTCTAGATTAGGCTATGTCAACATAGCATTAATTAAACGAATGAAACAATTAAACCTAGTCCCAAAATTAGAAAACTCAAAATTTTCAAATGTGAAGTATGTGCAGAGGCTAAACATACTAGAAAACCTTTTAAAACAGTAGAAAGAAACACAACAGTCTTAGAACTCATACATACAGATTTAGGTGATTTTAAAAATACACTTAGTCAAGGAGGAAAGAAATATTATATAATTTTTGTAAATGACTACTCTAGATATACAAAATTATATCTCTTAAGTAGTAAAGATGAAGCTGAGGAAAAATTTATCAAATATAAGGTAGAAGTAGAAAATCAACTAGAAAGGAAAATTAAAAGAGTTAGATCTGATAGGGGAGGAGAATATGGTTCTATTACTTTAAGAAATTATGTGAACAACATGGAGTTATACATGAAACTACTGCACCTTATACCCCTGAAAAAATAGAACTCTAAAAAAAATGATGAATTCTTTGCTCATTAGTTCAGGGTTACCTTTAAACATTTGGGGGGAGGCTATTTTATTGACATGTCATATACTTAATAGAAAACCACATAAGAAAACAAATTTAACCCCATATGAAACGTTGGTGTGTAGTGGGTATGGACCATGTCGTGGTGGGCTTGACCCATCTAGAACACACGTGCGGGCCGCCCATCATGGTCTCAAAAAATAGAAATGATCTTTTTGTTTATGAACTTTAGGTTATATGATTGAAGAGCCATTAAATGAAATTGCAAGATCTCATCCTTTTCCATTCTGCATTTGGTTTTTTCCATTCCTGTAGTCATTATTTAGTTGTGATTGTGATACTACTTGCAATGAGAGTGAACTAACATGTTTTTTACATGACATAATAAAATTCAATTTTACATGACTTTATTTTTGAACACAACCACCAATATTACATGATTTTGTTTTTCTCTACCATGCATAAAAAATGATCAAACCTAACTTTTTTTTATGACTTTTGCTTATACATATTATTACTCAACAAAATTTGAGAGTGAACTGAATTTCAATCACCATTTGTTTGAAGAAATGATTCTACTTATATCATTTAACATTTAAGATGTTGGAGTAAACTTAACAAATAGAGCAACTAATCCATTATAACTTATTTTCGGATTGTATTCATGCATCATTCAGCTTATTTTAAATGTTAGAATTTGAAATACCATCCAATTATATTAATGTGCATTCAGCTGATTATAACGGATAGAATCTAAAATAAATGCATATAATTGGCCATATGTACCGCGTATGTGTAAGAAAATATTTTGAGTTTGTTTACTATTTCAAGTAATCATTTATTTTTGGAAACTAGGTAATTAGGTTAGTAAAGTTATTTGTTTTGTGGATACATTTATAAATCTGATAAAATATTATAAAGATACTATATTCTTTGTAGGTAATGGTAGAGATCTATATTCTTTAAAATTAAGGTTAAAATTACAAAAATCCCTTTCTAACATAAAAATTCAATAAAATTTAAAACCTCTTAAACTAATAAAACCTATCAAGTTAATTCACCCATTGGGAAATGTTAAAGTGCCCCTTGATATTTAATATTAAATTTAAAAATATAATTACTATTTTAAAAATACCCCAAAGTGCTTACAAAAATATTAGTTAAAAGCTATTAAATCAAATTTGACATTCAACATGCTGGGAAGAAGACGGGGTATTTTGTAATTTTAAAATAATAATTATAACCTTTAATTTAATATTAAATAGTAATGTCAAATTTGACATTTCACAATTTATTTAACCGGTCAGGAATTTGGTGGTATCTTGATAAGTTTTGTTAGTTCAAGGAATTTCACAACTCATTTAATCGATTTTTTAATTTTTTGGAAGTTAAAACAATTACGCACACATTTTACCTCCACCGAAGTTCAAACCCCATACCTCCCCTTTGGGGGGAAGCAGCATCCAAGTTGTCCTCTTCCTTGTAATTGAAAGCCCCATCAAACT